TCAGGGGGCGCCCCGCGGTGAGGCCGCCCTGCTCCGGCCCCGCAGCCCCGCCGCCTCCCTCTGTCCCCGGTACTAGCGGGCGCCGGGAGAAGGGGGGCGGTGGGCCAGCTCCTTCCGTGTTTGTGACGGAGTTCGTCTTGTGTCAGGGGAGTTCGTAAGATATTTGCTCTGTTCGCTATTAAAGCCTGTGAGTATGTTGTAAAATTGAGGGCTTATCTAGACCTCCCCAGAATGAGTGAGACTAGTTTCCTGTGATTTGCACCCATGGTGGTGGTTAGGACCCATGGTCCTTTCTAAAATACACTACTTCAAGCGTATGTTTAGTTAGCCTTGAGTAGAAACACAGTCTTAAGCTGATATGAACGTCCGAAATGTTGGACTCTGAGACAGGCTTTTAATCATGTGCTGAATGGTTGTGTGTACTTTAGGATGTAAGCATGGTTATAGAAGCTGGTGTGTTTATATGCAGAGCTGTCTGCTGGTCGTGTGTTTGGATTAGTTCAGAACCGTAGGAGTATTTCTGTGGTGACGTTAGCCAGCGGGCTTAGGAAGTTTGTTCTGGTGCTCTCTGTGCGGGGTGCCTTCTTGTTAGACAGCTGGACTGCTGCCAGCCGTCCTGCTGGTGTTGCTTCTCCTGAAGATCGGACCGAGCCACAGCTTCACAGCTTTCTCTCGAAGTATAAACGGAGGCTTGGAGGCTAAAAGGGTGCACGATGAAAAATTAAAAAAAAAAAAAAAAAGCCTGTATAACATCTGGTTTAGTACTCTTACTGAGTCTATGTGTATTTTGCTGCACATAGAGGTGTTCTACATCTGCTCCTTAAGTATGCTACACTAAGGTCTGTCTTCGTCGTGGTCTTCTATGCTGCAAAATAACGCGTTACGCTAGAGACAAAAATATTTCAAAGCTTTTATCTTTGTCAAGAAGAATCAATTAAACAGAATAATAGTAAACAGGGCAGCCTGGTGTGTCTGGTTCAGTAAAATGGGAAAGTGCATCTTATGTACATCTTGATGTAGTTAGCTTTGCTTGCTTATTGGACTTGCTAGCTTGAATTTTATAACACTGCAGCATCATATCTCACCTGCTTTGATGATACATATGCTAAAATTGGAGTGATACAGAGAAGACTAATGGGGCTTCTGCTCAAGGAAGATGCAAACCTGTCTGTAGCATTGTAGAGAAGGCTTTTCTGAGCCTATGGCTTTTTTGAACCAAGAAGCCTTCTCTGATGTAGTTGAACTTAATGTTTCCTGTGTCTCACAGGTGATGTATGAGCTATCACCCCAGTTTTGAAAAGTACCCATGCTTGTGTGTGTGTTTGTTCTTAGGACTGGAGTTAAAAGTGTGGATTAAGGTACACATCTTAATGCTTCCCTGAAAGAGACCTCCTGAAATATCTTCAGTTTCTTCCCTGATGAGAGAATGCTTATCTGCCTTTACTTGTTGATTATCTGACATAGTCAATGTCTGTTGTTTATGGAATGTTGTCTTGTTTGATGGTAGCTGGTACTTATAATGCTCACACGCTTTTAATGCTTTATAGTAATACTAAGTGACATTCATACGCTACTTGTGCAGGTGACTATTACATGGTTAAGAAACTCTTAGAGGAGAACAGCTCAGGCGAAATGAACATAAACTGTGTGGATGTGCTCGGACGAAATGCTGTTACCATAACCATTGAAAATGAAAACCTGGACATACTACAGCTTCTTTTGGATTATGGCTGCCAGGTATAAAACACATAAGTTACTGAAAATTTTCAGTGTAGTCATTAATCTGTGTATTTTACTCTTTAAATATCTTCTCTGTTAGTCTGTCAGAGCGTGGAAGGAAATAGAATCTGTCTTTATAGGCAGTTCACTTCTTTGTCCATTTAGTAATTGTGAAAGTGTTTTCTTCTCACTAATTTACTTTTCTTAGTGGGATTTTATTTGCATGGCAAATGTGTAGTAACACTTTTAATGATATTAACAAGTCTGAATTTTATTTAAGTATTAATCCTGTTGCAAAGATAACATATACATTATCTTTGGGCAAAATAAACAGTATATACTCAGACTACATCGTATTAAAAAGTGTAGAATGCAGAGATCTCTAGCTGTGAAGTATAGTACTTTCTAAAATGGTGACACAGTTAGAAAAATACACATTGTATTATATGACTTTAAGTTAAGGCAAGCATGTGTTTTTGCAGTGCCTTCTTGTTAAACTTGATCTGTGCTTGACAGCAGGGGCAGTTCTTAGCAACAATATTTTCTTAACTATATGCAACATCTCTGCTGCTGCTGGGAGAGCTGTAGCTCTGATAGCTTAAGTATGTTAGACAGGGAAAAGTAGTATCTTCTGTTAGGTTGTTTGATATTGGATGGGAAAAAACCAACAAGCTTTCCCCTCCCTGGATCTCCTTTTCAGTGGCGATAATAAAAGCTATGTCTTTTTCTTTTAAATTAAAAATTTGAATTTTCTCAAGTTAGTTAGAAAGTATAATATCAACTGTAGTGAAAATTAAAAGCTGCTTAGCTCAACTCAAGAGAAGTTTCGGAAGTAGTTACCAGCCCAGAAAAAAAGCTTATGTTCCTAGTTTTACCACAGAACTACGAATGGGGGACTGAAGCATCCTGTATGCCTGAATTATGTTACACAGACGCTTGCTTTTAACATTTTTAATAACCCGATAAACTGTTGCTTAGAACTTGATTTTTTGCAAATATCTTTCATCATCTTTGCTGGAAAGTAATTTCTGCAATTGGTTCTTCTGTGGTTTGTGCAGTGAAACAAATGGTCAGTAATGCTATGTGAATTCCTGGAATGGCAACTTGAATTTGTGTCCTAATCATACACATAGTGATAATACAGAATATTAGTACTTTGAGTTTTAAAAAATGCGCTTTGGCTTCAGATTGACTCTTTATGCTGTTTAAGTTACTGCTGTTTTCACATATGACTTGTTTTTTCTCCTTAGTCATCGGATGCACTTTTGGTGGCTATTGACTCAGAAGTGGTGGGAGCTGTTGACATTCTACTTAATCACCGACCAAAAAGATCCTCCAGACCAACTATTGTAGTTGAGTGTTGTTATTCCTTGATTTTTTTTGGTCAGGGAGTGGGGGGCTGTGCTACTGCATTCTGGGTAACCACAGCATTTGAAACAGTATTCTTGAAAGAAATTTTACATCTGTAAGGTGATAGAATCTGAGCATTAGAGATTATTTTTATAGCCTCTTATGCCTTAAACAATAGAATACATAATATTGCTTTACCACCTGAGGAATCCAGTGGCTTTATATGTGCCGAATGCTAACAGATGCCTAGTTAGTCCAGAAAAGAGAAAAATGGAGTGGTTTTAAACCTCTTCTTGTAGACTGTTTGCAAGGTAATTAGCAGCCTTGACCTGTAACAGGTATATTAATGTATGGAAGCTTCATAGATTTTTTTTGAGCAAATCTCTAAACATCAAATCTAAACCTTGAAATTAATTAGTTGAATCTCATCTTGGCAATGCTCAAGTATCAAAGAACTTTTAAAAGTTCACAAGTAGAGGTGGAGGGAGGGAAGGAATAAGGTGTTGTGTAACACAGTGTGGTACAGTCAGGATATTTTTTTCTCTGCTTAGATTGTAAATATACACATATTTTTTTCTCAAACTAGAGTGAAATACACTTTTTAATATCATGCATGTATATTGGAGAAGGTGGGCACTGAATGTCAGGTTTTCTATGTAAATAAACCAGTAACATTTCTGTGTCCATTTTTCTTTTTTCCATTATTTATCTGAGAGTTGTTTGAATGTTGCTACAAAGTTTTCCTTATTTTCATGTTATGAAACATAGGAAAATATTTTGAAGGAGAGATTCATTGTTGAACAGTTAAAAAAACCTTTACTTGTAAGCACTGAGGTAGAACTGTGTGTAATAAATTTAGTTACTTCCTACGTTTTATTCCAGAAACTAATGGAACGCATTCAGAACCCAGAGTACTCGACAACCATGGATGTGGCACCTGTCATTCTAGCTGCTCATCGTAACAACTATGAAATTCTCACCATGCTATTAAAGCAAGATATATCATTACCCAAGCCTCATGCTGTAGGCTGTGAATGCACGCTCTGTACTGCAAAGAACAAAAAAGATAGTCTTCGACATTCCAGGTAAGACTTACCAGTCATAGACAATAATAAAAATAATCTGGTCTTAATTCTATCATATTGTTTGGGTCAGATTTATTATATTTCCTTTTTCTTTTTAATGTGAGATTGAGTGGATTCCTTTAATATACTGTAGCCTTTATTGTGAGAGGTGGTAGTTCTTGGGGATGGTTGTGCTTGAAAAGGCTGGTAGGAGGCAGTGGCTTTTTTTTTCATTTTGGTTTTATACTATTAGTCACTGTGCATTTAAGCCGAGTGCCTTTCCTTTCTACTAGTTATGTCACAAACATTCTAGCTATTTTTGGCTTGAGAGCATAGGAACTATGCAAATAAAATTTTTCTTAATTAGTTAATACTTGGGTTTTTTGGAGCCAGAACGAGGAGGTGAATAATTCTGTATCCTGTTTCTAAAAGTGTTTATGTAGCGTGGATTGATGAATGCAAACTAAAGATGGGTTTGTTTTTCTTCTTCACTATTTCTGAAAGTAGAAAGCTTTTTAATAAAGGTTCAAATGAGGGATTTACCGATCTTAACAATATTTTGTCCAATTAACTTGACAACATATTTGAGGGTTGAATACAATTTATTATGTGAGAGTGGGGGTGAAAAATCACAGAGCTCAAAGGTCATGAGTGGACTGCAATTAACAATATAAAATTAATTATTACATCATTAACTTCAGTACATATCCAGATGACTGAAAAATAAGGGAAGTGAAAGGATAATTGTTACTGGTATTCAGCTACTACAGGCCACATTCTGGTACCTGTAATGGCCACATCCATTTCATATGCTATGTCGCCATGTCATTAACTTCAGTATGAGAAAAGGTGTCAGGGTATCCCAAGCAAACAATAGAAACATTTGAGATAACAGCTCTTAGTTTAAACTAGAATGGATAATGGACTTTGTTTCAGTGTTTGAGTCAGTAGTTTTGCCAGAGGAAGACATCCCTTCAGATGCTTTCCCTGACTTTTTTTTTTTTTTATGTGTGTGTGTTGCACATTAAAGTTCCTCACTGTTGTAATTTAGTTTGTTAAAATAGAAGATTGGCTTAAGTGCTTTACTTCCTGTCATATTTCCACCTGAAGAACCACAAGAGCTACTGTGTAACACTTAAAATGTCAAAATTTTACCAATACTGTTACTTAACTGGTGGCCTTCTGCAGATGTACTGATAACAGTTGAAGTAGTGAGGAAAAGAAGAGGGAACCCGTTTAGCCAATTTTTGATACTTAGAGTGGTAGGGATTCTAAGTACGTGAAGGACAATATCTTCTGTGACCTATCACATTTAATGCTTGTAGTGTCTGGTTTTAAGAAACCCAATTGTTTTGTCTTTCAGCTGACTGTTTTATGCAAACTTTTTGAATAGGTTGGAATTTGAAACTGCTGATCAAATGAAACATTGTAATTTTGCTTGCTGTTCTTTTGTCACAGGTTTCGTCTTGACATTTACCGGTGTTTGGCCAGTCCTGCTTTAATCATGTTGACAGAGGAGGATCCAATCCTGCGAGCTTTTGAACTTAGTGCAGACTTAAAAGAATTAAGCCTTGTTGAGGTTGAATTCAGGTAGGAATTGAAAACACAAACCAACTTTGATACTTTTATGAAATTACGTATATAGAAATGTGTATGCATTAGAAAAGGTTTATTCTTAATTTTTTGTGATTGGAGTGTTTAAACTGATAATTAGACATAATAACCAGTTATGTAATTTATGCCTCATTAGCAGTCATTTTGACAGTTTAATTACTTTAAATCCTTTTAGGTGTATACAGTTCAACATGTATAGTTGCACCAACTGTTCAAATTTCAGCTCTACTCTGGAAAAATTAGCAGAAATGATGCTAAATGCTGACTTTATTTCAAGATCACACACCTATTAATCATATCAGTATCTCATTAGTACTCTGCTTTTTTTTTTTTTTCCCCTACATCAAGGTAGATGTATGCAACACCTTGTCTATACTGACCTGACTCATGTTGGGACTTGTTTCGGGTATTGTTTCTTAATTTTGCTCCTTATATTATAAGACTGGGCAGCGCGTGTGTGTGTGTTTATTTATATATATATATAAATATGCATATGTGTGTAGATTTCATGCAGAAAATGCTCTATTTAATGAACAAATGCTCAGTATAATTTTATATTTAAACTATGCAGGTTTCTACCATTTTGAAACTTTCCAGCCCAAAAGCATGTATTTTTTTATGAGAACATGAAAGAAAATGTTCGTATGGGGTAAAATTCTACTTTCCGAAACAACATATGAATTTTCTGGTTTTATAGCTGATTGTCTTTCTTAATAAGAGTTCAACAAGTTGCATTTTGTGATACAACTTGGTGCTAAAATGGACTGTGTGCCAGGTGAAACAAGCAAATGGTGTAATTTCTTCTGTTTATTACATTAATAAATAGTATTCAGTGAATAGTTTTTAATTTTCAGATGACAGGAATAAAGCAAAACTCAAACCAACTTCCCTTCCAAGTCGAAAGTCCAAATGATGAATTACCAGTGTCATATTTTCTGACTACTACACTTTCTTATCTCCTGGAAATAATTCTAAGCTTTAGCTCTTTGTATGGAACTTACAAGATAAAAATTTATATACTGTAAGTCTGTTTCTCAATTTTTTTTCTATCTAGTGGGGTTGTAAACTAAACTGAAGTGTAATTGTCATGTTGCATGGTGAAACCTACTCAGAGTTGCCTTCAGAATGCTTGGATCTTGACATGTGACTGTTGTTGGGTTTTTATAAATTTTCTCAGCATAACATACAATCCCAACCAAAAATGGATAGTAGATGGTTTAATGGAAAATATGTGAGCAGTGTAATAGTATGTACTGTTTCTCTGCCTTTCAGAAATGATTATGAGGAGCTAGCTCAACAGTGCAAAACCTTTGCTAAAGATTTGCTTGCACAAGCACGGAACTCGCGGGAGCTGGAAGTTATTCTGAATCACACATCTAGCGATGAACATGTAGACAAGCGAGGATTGTTGGAAGAGAGGATGAACTTAAGTCGCTTAAAACTTGCAATCAAGTATAATCAAAAAGAGGTTTGTCTTTGCAGTAATTTGATGGGTTTTCTGTATCATATTTTGCTAGTAATTAATTTAAGTTGTTGTTCTGCCTCTAGACATAGAAGTGGAAATAAATTTGCTAGAGTTATAGAAGAGATAGTAGCATACAGGAAATCTGTGTGTGAAACAAGGAAATGATATTGCAAGATACCGAGTATTTTTTCAGTATTTACTGTGGAGAAGAATGTAGTGTTTTCTGTATTGGAGTATCGACTAACGCTCTTTTATGAACAGCTCTAGTAGTGGTAATTGTTTGTTCAGATCCTCATTAAATCCTTACTTAGGGAAGCATTGATCCTAAAGTGCCATACACGATTTATCATCTTCTCGCTTGTCATTAGCTGTTCAGCTTTGGCTTAGGCCTCATCTGTGCTGTTCAGAATTATGTTAGACCTATGCTGGTATAACTGAATAGCGCCTCTGTTCCAGAATAGCAGCGCCTTTCTATGCTATCAGTATGGAACTGACTTCATGTGGTAGGTCATTGTTTTCTTTATCCTTTCACAAATTAGAAACTTCAGTTTTGCTGTACTAAAAGGTAAATAGGTATTTGTGAGTGTCTTGGTTTGAAAGACAGGTGTCTG